AGAAGTCAGTGAAGAGCTAGTGGCTCACACCTGTAATCCTAGCTACTCAGGAGGCTGAGATCTGAGGATCACGGTTCAAAGCCAGCCCGGGCAGGAAAGTCCATGGAACTCTTATCTCCAATAAACCACCAGAAAACTGGAAGTGGAGCTGTGGCTCAAGTAGTAGAGCACTAGCCTTGAGTTGAAGAGCTGAGGGATTATGCCCAGGCCCAGAGTTCAAGCCCCATGACAGACCAAAAAAAAGCTGGAAGTGGAGCTGTGGCTCAAGTGTTAGAGTGCTAGCCTTCAGCACAAAAGCTCAGGGACAGTACCCAGGCCCTGAGTTCAAGCCCCAGGTCTGGCACCAAAAAAAAGGGGGGAATTAACAGGACAAACCAAAATTCTTTAGCATCAAGATTAGGAGTGTAGCAGTCATTCTTGCCAATGTGTCAGTATGCCTGGTTCTGTTCCAATGTTAGAAGCAACCTCCTAATGGGATTCTAGTCAATGTCACTGATTTCCAGGGAAACTTACTCTGATGTGGTGAACACCATTCAGTTTCCCAAGCTGCTGCTCAATGGTCCGAACGCAGGAATTGCATGTCATACCCTCTACAGAAATGGTGACAGAACTCACACCCATGCTTGGATCCATTTCTGTTTCTTCTTTAAATTCCTGTCTTTTAAAAAAAAATCTTGTTAATTTAGCCATGGAAAGAATTTTGCTCATCAATTTTTCCTCATACTTCCCCAGCTGAAAGCATGCTAATATAAAGTATGACCACCAGTCTGGGAATGTGGCTTAGTGGTAGGGCGCTTGCCTAGCATGCATGAAACCATGGGTTCAATTCCTCAGTACCACATAAACAGAAAAAGCCAGAAGTCATGCTATGGCTCAAGTGGTAGAGCACTAGCCTTGGGCAAAAGAAGCTCAGGGATAGTGCCCATGCCTTAAGTTCAAGCCCCAGGACTGGCAAAAAAAATTAAATTAAAATTATGACCAGCATTCTTTTATCCTTGCTTAGGAAAAAGTTTTACTCACCTTTGACAAAGCAAAAAATAATAATAATAACTTGTTTCTATAGCTAACTAAAATAACCGCATAACACCTAATAAAAATAACAAATACTTCATCAATGCTTTCCTATTCATTTCCCATACATAAATTCGCTTAATGTTGGAAGTAGATAGAATGAAGATCCAACCAAGCATGCCAAAACCTATCCAACAGCAACCAATGTCCTAGCTGATTACCTACACAAGCCCACTTGAACTTGTGTTCACTGACCTCCAATCCCATCCTTAAATCTTTCTAGGTGCCACTCATAATGTCTCCAGAGCCCTTACTCATGCCCCAGGGACTTGGCCTCAGGGCCTCTGCTTTAGCTCTTCCCCTTGTAGGGTTCTTTATTCTTCCAGATGTCTGCTTGGCTAACTTCCTAAACTTCCAGTCTTGGCTCTAATCTAACCTTCTTACTGAGGCCTATGTTGAGCAACTTATTTAGAATTAAAATTTGGGCTGGGAAGGTGGCTCAGTGGTAGAGCGCTTGCCTTGCATGCCTGAGGCCCTGGGTTCGATTCCTCAGCACAACATAAGCAAAAAGAAAAAAGCCGGAAGTGGTGCTGTGGCTCAAGTGGTAGAGTGCTCACCTTGAGCTGAAGAGCTGAGGGACAGCGCCCAGGCCCAGAGTTCAGGCCCCATGACCGGACCCAAAAAATTTATTAAAATTTTTAGAATTAAAATTTATAGCCCTTTGGCACACATACCCTTGACTCCTTTTGCCTTTTGCCTCTATCTTTTTAAAAATATCTTTCAGCCAGGCACTGGTGGCTCACACCTGTAAACGTAGCTACTCAGGAAGCTGAGATCAGGATGATCACGGCTCAAAGCCAGCCCAGGCAAGAATGTCCATGAGACTCATCTCCAATAAACCACCAGAAAACCAGAAGTGGCACTATAGCTCAAATGGGAGAGGGCTCGCCTTGAACTGAAGAGCTCAGGGACAGCACCTAGGTCCAGAGTTCAAGCCCCATGACTGACAAGGAAAAGAATATCTTTCATAGCTGGGTGCTGGTGACTCAGAAGGCTGAGATCTGAAAATCACAGTTTGAAGACAGCCCAGGTAGGAAAATCCAGGACACTCATCTCCAATTAATCACCAGTAAAACCAGAAGTGCAGCTGTGGCTCAAAGTGGTATAGAGTGCTATCCTTGAGTGAAAAGCTCAGGGACAGTGCCAAGGCCCTGAGTTTAAGCCCCAGGACAAGAGTGCATGCATGCACGCACACATACGTGCATGTGTGTGTGTGTGTGTGTGTGTGCATGCATGTGTGTGTCACTGAACTCACCATTTTCTAACTTTGTGCATAATTTACTTATTTATTCTTTTCACTGACTATTGTCTGTCCACTAACTTTCTCAATCTTTCTTTCAAGAAGTAGAACCCAGGGCTGGGAATGTGGCTTAGTGGTAGAGTGCTTGCCTAACATGCATGAAGCCCTGGGTTCGATTCCATAGTACCACATACACAGAAAAAACCAGAAGTGGCACTGTGACTCAAGTGGTAGAGCCTTGAGCAAAAGAAGTTCAGGAACAGTACCCAGGCCTTGAGTTCAAGCCCCAGGACTGGCAAAAAGAAAATAAAAAGAAGTGGAACTGAACTCCTTTTACCCCAGACATGCCCCAGACTTTGGAAATAGACAATGGCAGCAATAACTCTGATTTCTGGGATTAGGTTATGAAGAGAGAAAAGGCAGGCCTGAAGGCTGTTCCTTGTCATTAATGGCATCACCCAATTTAGTAGAAGCCATCTGCCTTGCATGGAGATAAATAAGAAGCCATATGGAGAGGTCACATGATGAGGAACTTCTGCAAAAACAACTAGGATCTGAGACCTCTACCAATAGCAGCTGAATGGAGTCTAGAAAACTCATCCTTTTACCTTTCAGTGGGGTCCAGTATACTCCCAAACAGGTACAACCATAATAACTATGTGCTTGCTCATTTCCATTAACCCCGAAAAGAAACCCATTAACTGCTCCCTATTCCCATCTACTCAGAGCCTCTAGAAGACATGAATTCACATCCTATCTCTATGGATTTGTCTATACTGATGATTTCCTATAAATTCATTCAAGATGTGACATTTTGTTATTGGATTTTTTCACCTAATGTTTGTAAGGTACATCAACAAGGAGAATGTATTGATATTTTTTTCATATTTTTTTTCAGTTTGTAGTTTTTGATGGTTCTGTCTTTACCTTATGTATTGTGCATTCAAGAATACATCTTTGGGGCTGGGAAGGTGGCTCAGTGGTAGAGCATTTGCCTTGTATGCCAGAGGCCCTGGGTTCGATTCCTCAGCACCATATAAGCAGAAAAAAAAGCCGGAAGTGGCGCTGTGGCTCAAGTGGTAGAGCACTAGCCTTGAGCTGAAGAGCTGAGGGACAGCGCCCAGGCCCAGAGTTCAGGCCCCACGACCGGACCCAAAAAAAAAATTAAAAAAAAAAAGAGTACATCTTTGGGGGCTGGGAATGTGGCTTAGTGGTAACATGCTTGCCTAGCATTCATGAAGCCCTGGCCAGAAGCAGCGCTGTGGCTCAAGTGGTAGAATGCTAGCCTTGAGCAAAAGAAGCTCAGCGGCAGTGCCGAGGCCCTGAGTTCAAATCCCAGGACTGGCAAAAAAGTATATCATCAGAAGGTTTGCGGGGGTGGGGGGGCAGGGGGGTACAGAACTCAAGGGAAACAAAACAAGTGAAAAAATGAAGCAGTGAAACTCACTGGACACTGATAAAAGTGAACTGCACAACTCATGGGTGGAGATGGGAGGGAGGAAGGGAGGGAGGGAGGAAGAGCAGGAAGGGAGGGAGGGAGGCATTGAGAGAGAATGAAGGAACAGAAGATACTGTACAGAAGGAAATGTACTCATTACCTGACTCATATAATTGTAGCCCCTCTGTATATCACCTCTATAACAATAAAATAAATTAATAAAATAGAAAATATTTTGGTAGCACAGTTTTGTGTGTGTGTGCATGTATGTGCACACATGTGTGTGCACATGTACCAATACTGAATCTTAAACTCAGAGCCTACAGACTGTCCCTTACCTTTTTCACTCAAGGTTGATGTGCTAACATTAGAGTCATCTCTACACTTCTGGTTTTTTGGTAGTTATTTAGAAATAGGGGTCTCACAGACTTTCCTGCTCGGTCTAGCTTCAAATAACAATCCTCAGATCTCACCCTCCAAGTAGCTAAGGTTACAGCAAGAGCCACTAGCACCCAGTGGAGTTAATGTATGTTAATATGTAGCTACTTTTTTACAAATTTATGAAATATTTCAGTAATACCTAAGAGCAGAAATAGCACATATTTGCTCTATTTTTCTAAACTATTTGAATTTTAGTTTTAGAAATCATGATACTTCAGCACTCATTTCTAAAAAATAAGGACTCCTACAGAAGTACATGACTACTACCACAGGTAAGAAAATCAATGAGAGACTATGATGGTGGTACACACCTACAATTCCAGTTACATGGAAGACTTAGGAAGCATTGGTGTCTGAGGTCATCCCTGAGTAAATGAAAAAGTACAAACTTCTAGCTGAAAAACAACTAAAGCAAAAAAGGGCTGGGAAGTAGCTCATGGTATAGAGCAACTACTAAGCAAGCAGGAGGCCTTGACTTCAAAACAAAGTACTGTTTTGTTGTTGTTGTTGTCAGTCATGGGGCTTGAACTCTGGGCCTAGACTCTGTCCCTGAGCTTTTCAGCTCAAGGCTAGCACTTTACCACATGAGCCACAGTGTCACTTCTGGTTTTCTGGTGGTTAACTGGAGATAAGAGTCTCACAGACTTTCCTACCTGAGCTGGCTTTGAACCTCGATCCTCAGATCTCCTCCTGAGTAGCTAGGATTACAGGCATGAGTCACCAGTGCCCAGTTCCTAGTACTGTTTTATAAAAAAAAAAGAATATTAAGGGGCTGGGAAGGTGGCTCAGTGGTAGAGTGCTTGCCTTGCAATGCATTAGGCCCTGGGTTCGATTCCTCAGCACCACATAAGCAAAAAGAAATAAAAAGCCGGAAGTGGCGCTGTGGCTCAAGTGGCAGAGCGCTAGCCTTGAGCTGAAGAGCTGAGGGACAGCGCCCAGGCCCAGAGTTCAGGCCCCACGACCGGACCCCAAAAAAAAGAATATTAATGATTATATTCAATACCCATTGTGTATTGAAAATCTCCCAGATGTTCCAAGAGCAGCCTCTATTGCTTTCCTTTTCTCACATTAGGATCCAGTCAAGGTTTACAACATTGCACTTGGTTGTTCTGTATTGTATATCCTGGAACCATCTTCATCCTATCTTATTTCCCCCATGAAGTAATTTTTTGAAGTATCCAGGCCAGTTGTCTTGGCAACCATTGTATCTTCTTTATTGTCAAATAACAACTATTTATAGGGGACCAGGCAATGTACATGCACACATCTGTATTGTTGGGTTTTTTTTTGGTCGGTCATGGGGCTTGAACTCTGGGCTTGGGCGCTGTCCCTGAGCTCTTCAGCTCAAGGCGAGCACTCTACCACTTGAGCTATAGTGCTAGTTCCAGTTTTCTGGCGGTTTATTGGAGATAAGGCTTTCACGGACTTGGGCTGGGAAGGTGGCTCAGTGGTAGAGCACTTGCCTTGC